CAGCCGCGCTGACCGCCGCGCCCCTTCCTCCCGCGAGGCCCCGGGACTTGCCCTGGTCGGCCGGTCCGCGCGATTGCTTCCTCTTCTCGCCGCCTGCCGCAGCGCCCGGCCGCCCCCCGCTCTGCAGCCCATGTTGAGCCCGTAGCCCCTTGGGGAGGAGGGCGCTGGCCAGGCCCCGGGTGGGCAGCTCGCTCGCCCAGGTTCCCCATCATGGAAGCAAGCGGGTGTGCCCGCGGCCTTCGTCCACCTCATTGAGTAGCCGAGACTTCACAGGGTTCGTCGCGCTAGAAGTAAAAGCATCTTACCCCTGAGTCGTTTGGGGTTTTCAGTTCATACTTTTTGGGGGACACAGTTCAACCCCACGGACATCTCCAGAGGCAGCGCTTGAGCATTTCCCGCAGCGGAGCTGCCCTTGGTCTGCGCAGAGATCCCTGGGCGGGGCAGATGACCTGGGCGCTTTACTGGATTTTATGCCAGTCCAGAAAAGTGCGGTGGGATGAGCGGGAATCAGGGAAGCGCTGTCCTCCTACAGAAGGACTGTCCACGCAGAGCTGGGGTGTGGGGGAGGCAGGACAGGTGCAGGGAGTAGGGTGGCACGGGACAGCTCCCTGGGGAAAGGGGCCCGGGCCTTGCGGGTGGAGGGCTGCTGGGGAGTGGTGGGTCGGTCCTTTCTGGTGGACAGAACAGCCGCGGCCAGGCCGGGGCGCGGTCAGCCTGAGCGAGGGTGAGTGAGGTGAAGGGGTAGCATGGCAGGTCGTAAAGGCCAGCAGGAACCAGTAAGGAATTCATTTCCAGAGTGCCCGTGGACGCCCTGGCTGGTCTCGGCTTGGCTGTCACGAAGGCAGCATCGCCCGGGTGCTGATTTCACTCAGGCCGGCACCAGCGGCGGCAGCTGGCCGGCAGGAGCTGCCCCAGCCTGCTGCCCCATAAGTACCTATGGTAGGTGCAGCCCTGGCGTCTCAGGTGGCCCTCAGGGGTAGGCCCTCCCCACGCCAGCTGCGGGGCCCCTGCCCGGCGCGGCCGCCCCACCCTGCGCTCTCGGCCCCGGTGTGTCTCCCTTGGCCCCGGCCACGGTTGGGATGGAACATTCGTGATTGTTTAATGGCTGCCTGGGCCGCTCACTCCGGACATGTCTGGGTCTTCCTAGTGTTGCTGTTTCAGGCTGGGTAACCCCGTAATGGGGTCATGTTGTGCATCGGCGGCCTCACTCGCAACTGTGAGAACAAGACATAGCCAGACGGCCCCCGGCAGACAGACTGGGCGCCACCAGGCCACTGGGGGCGCAGGCTGGGGTCGAGGGTGTGTGCAGGGCCCCTCTGCGCCAGGCAGGCTGCTGGGCGAGGGTTCCGGGCTCTGAGGAACGGCTGTCTCACAGGATGATGGCAGGAAAGGTGAAGTGGGTCACTGACATTGAGAAGTCGGTGCTGATAAACAACTTTGAGAAGAGAGGATGGGTCCAGGTGACAGAGAACGAGGACTGGAACTTCTACTGGTGAGTGTTGCTGGTCGCGCACCGGCACACGGGCGCCTCTGCTCCCTGTCGGGAGGACCCGCTTCTGCGCCCTGCGTCCCGGTCAGGGCAGCACAGGGTGCGGCCTGGCAGAGCCGTCCCCGAGTGACCCTCCGAGCGACCGGGGCCCTGCCTGCTGTCGTGTCGGGCCCTGCTTCAGGGCCGGGGCCGCCTGCCTCGCGGATTCAGCTGCTGGCCGGGCTCTGCTCCGCACGGAGAGCGGCCTTCAGGGGCAGAATCGGAGCGGCCCCTGCGGCCAGCCTCCCGGCGCAGGCCCCCGGACGGGGCAGCGCCCCAGGATTGCCTCCTGGCCGGGACACCCAGGCCGCGAGGACACCTCCAGGCTCTCGCGCACCCCTGTCTCCAGGATGAGCGTGCAGACCATCCGGAATGTGTTCAGCGTGGAGACGGGCTATCGCCTCTCCGACGATCAGATCGTCAACCACTTCCCGAATCACTACGAGCTGACCCGGAAGGACCTGATGGTGAAGAACATCAAGCGATACAGGAAAGAGCTGGAGAAAGAAGGGAGTCCCCTGGCAGAGAAGGACGAAAACGGGAAATACCTCTACCTGGGTTCGTGCTCTCGCGGCTGCCGTCCTGCAGGCACCGACCACCTTTCCGTCTGCGCCGGGGGCTGGGGGGCCCCCACGGGCTCGGGCCGGCAGGGGGCGTGTCTCGCCAGGCGGGGGCGCCCCTCTTCCCACTGTCCACAGAATGCGCGCATCTGGGAACCTGAGCCCCAGCGGGCGCCTCGGCATGCTCTGCGGGTGCGGGGAGAAGGCCCGCCGTGCGCGGCGTGGGGGTGCGGGGCTGTGGGGCGCGTCGGTTCCGGTCCCCGTCCTGCCTGGCGTGAACGTCTGGCCTCAGAATCCCCTTACGTCTCCCGGAAGTGTGTAACTGACCTCTGTGTTCTTTCTGAAAAACGGGGGTGGTCTCGACGGCCCAGACGCTGTTGGGGGGCGCGGTGTGTGCAGTGCCTACAGGTGCTGGGCGGGGCGTTGAGCAGGCCAGGGAGGGCCGTGCGTGTCCCACCGTCCCCCTGCCTGGCCTTTCAGACTTTGTCCCGGTCACCTACATGCTGCCGGCCGACTACAACCTGTTCGTGGAGGAGTTCAGGAAGAGCCCGTCCAGCACCTGGATCATGAAGCCCTGCGGCAAGGCCCAGGGCAAGGGCATCTTCCTCATCAACAAGCTCTCGCAGATCAAAAAGTGGTCCCGGGACAGCAAGACGTCTACGTAAGTGGGGGGGCACCCGTGGTGCGCGTGTCCTGGGGCCTCAGGCTGCGGCGGGGTGTCGCTGTCCCAGGGTTTCGGGCCCGGCTCCATGCCGCCCCCCAGAATCATGGACGCCAGTCCCCAGCCGGCGTTGGGCCACAGCCGGGCTCCCCAGGCCGCCGGAGGCCGCAGGGCCGAGATGATTCCGAAGCTGCGTGGCCGTACCTGAACCCCCAGACCCGGTATCTGGGTTTGAATCCCTGTGTAGACCCTGTGATTCCTCCTCTGGGTAACCTGGGGTCACTCCAAGCGCCAGTCCGCAGGGATGCAGTGGGGTGTCGCGGTCCCTCTGCCTCGCGTACCGGTCAGTGGGTGCTCAGCGGTGGCGGCCCGAGGCAGCCGGCCATGTCGTCTCCCGGGACCTGCAGGCCGGCTCCCGGGTGGGGCTCACTCTGCCCCCTGCAGAACCTTCACAGTGGGGACAGCCCTCCTCCACCCCACCTTCAGATCTCACCC